TTAAAATAACAACAAAATCCTTTGATAGTGTTTTACAGTGATGTTCCTCAAAATAAGACGTTTCCCAAAAACGTTGCTTCCTATCAAAAAGAGGAAATATAAAAAAAAAGGAGAAACATTTAAATTGCCAACCGAGGAATCTGTCATTCTTCTAAACACAGAGATGTATAAGTACACAAACAACACAGAGGAGAACTTCCTCGTGTGAACTGAACACATTCGCCTGCACAGTGTCAGATGCTTCATGATGATAAGTCATCATCATATTCAGTGACGGCTGAAATGACTCGTCACCAGGCAGCAGCTCCACACCCTCTCTAATCTCCCTGATTGTCTCGGAGCTCAAACCCACAGACAGTGATGACAGGCCACGTCTATTCTTCTTCTCTTCTTCTTCTCTTCTTCTTGTGTTCTTTCTGCACGCTTCACAAAATCACAGTGAGAATAACGACCTGCTTTACTTCGATTAAGTCAGGTTTGTCGGGTTCTTTCATCATCGTTGTTTTGTTTTGATCAGGAGTCATTTACTAAAAAACTTCTCCTCTCATTAAGAGTATACGTGTTTATTTGTGGCAGTTTTATTATACTAGTATATGTCATTATACTAATATTCAGCTTTTGACGTCATTTGGCGTCGGAGTGTTTTTCGTGGTTTGGAGTCGCGGAGTCAAGGTCCCATCGACACACGCACTCGACCAATCACGAGTCAGTCTCAGCTGTCAATCATGAAAAAGAAGAACTTCTTTATTTCTATTTTACGACAGCAAATCCAAAAAAAAGTTCTGCTCTTGTTAAACCACCTCCTGGGACAAGGAGCGGTGGCCAGAGAAAATGTCTGATAACTAAATCGATATAATAATTAGTAATGGTAATAACACTTATTAATATAATGTAAGTAAATGATGCCGAGTAAAATAAAGCAACAAAGTAGAAACGAACAGATGTTTTAAAAACGAAGCTGCAGGGAATTCACCGTGGATGAAAACATCCGTCGGTAGATTAAAAAGATTTGGACATCAATAATAAATTGTACATAAACAGTCATATATATTCAATATAATGAATAATAACATGTCACCGTGCAGTCATCACTGTAACGGCAGTGATGAACTAGTGCCGCGGCAGAAAACATCATCTCTTTGTCTCCTCCTGCTGTTTAACTGCAGTAGTGCAACAGTTTTCAACTCCAAAATAGACGCGTGATAAAGCAGCGAATCAAGTGAAAGTTTGAGACTAATGCGCTTTAGCTCAACTCCGTCGTTTTATGTCGGGTGGCAAAAAGACAGGAGTGGCCTGAAGAGGTCAGAGGTCACTTCATCTGCAGAGGACCGTTCCTCATTTCCACGTAGGTGCAGTCCTCGGGATCGAATCCGGTCTGTAATACAGGAACAGACGTAAACACGACGTTTGTAGCTCACTGAATAAAAACACGTCAAGACGATGGTTCTGACGTAAAGAGAGTTACTCTGGGAAATCTGGTCGAGTCACCTCCGAAGGAGAATATAACATTGTTGTACAATCTCGTAACTTGTGGTCCTTCTACCTTGGATGGTTAAAATATTACAACTGCTAATTAAAATCTCAAGTCAGATGATGGGGGTTTTAATTTCAGGACCAAGATATTTAGCTCCGTCGCTCATTCCAAAACAAATGTAAACAGGAATTAATAGTTCCACATGGTTGATTTAGATATTGTCCTGACCTCGGTGACCTCACAGCCGCCTGCTGGCTTCATGTGATGAAACCTTCGGTACTTTCACACAAAGATAGAAAAACAAACAGAGATGTGACGGACGTACATTCATCCTCAGCCTGACGAGGACGCAGGTGATGACGCAGCTGTACAGGAACACCAGAGCCAGCAGACCAATCAGAATCCAGCTGAGGTCAAAATGCTTAAGAGGAGGAGGAGGAGGAGGAGGAGGAGAAGGAGAAGGAGGAGGAAGAGGAGTTTCCTTTTGACCTGATAAAAACAGTTTTCATTTTCATTCATTTGCACATAAATGTATTGATTTTTTTTATTCCTCTCAAGAAAGAATGAGGAAGTGACACATTTCAAAATAATAATTAAAAGCATTTTACATTGTTCTGACATTTATTCATTCATCTATGTATAAAATATGAACAAGAAAACATATGAGGAATAAATAAGAAAATATCAAAACTTAACATCAACTGTGACATTTTAATGACGATGAATATTATGTACTTTATATTATATCAAGTATATATTGTATATATTATATACATTCTTTATTTCAATGTGCAATTTATACATCTGTTTCAATCACTTTTTTTCCCCTTGTGTTTTCTACATTACTGAACTTTACTTGAAGTAACAAACTAAAGAACATTTATTTGGGTCATGACATTTCCTGCCTTGATCCTATAAACCACTAATACACTCACACTGCACAGTTCATCTGTTTCCTGTTTTCTAACAGCTGATGTGCTTTTGGCACGAAAGAGAAATAACAGTATTACGCTTTGGATTTCTTTCAGTTAGAAGAATAAAGAACGATGTAGATGTATCAGCCTCATTCTTTACTTCTTCCTTCTGAATTTAACATCAGTTTGTTGCAGCATGACATGAAAATTTCAGGCAGAAAGAAAAATAAGATTTGTTTCACTAACCCTCGGAGGTACTTGGCACCAGCCTGGTCGGTATTCCTCTCCTGGTGCTATGCAGATTATTTATCTCCACGGTGAACTCACACTCGTACTGGACGTTCGTGGCCTCAGGTCCGATTTTCACGATGATGAAGAGACACTTGTTGGGACTCTGTAGAAACATGATGATGTCCGAGCAGTGCTGCATCCCCTTCTTGCAGAGCGGTGTCCGTTTTCTCTGTCTGAGACGAGATACAATGACAATCATCCATCATCTGATGAGTTAAAGGGAATGTTTCAACGTTGAGGGAAAGACACCATGGAACCGTTTTACGCGACTGTCTTTTTTTTTTACTTTGGGCTTACAGGTAGAATTTAGTGACACCTAGTGGTGAGGTTGCATGTTGCGGCTGAGCATTCAGTTGACAATTAAAACGCAAAAGGTTTAGTTTGTCCATTCTGGGCTACTGTAAAAAAAACATGGCAGCCTCCGTAGAGAGGACCCACTCCTGATAAATATAAAGTATTTAAATATAAAGTATTTAAACACAAAGGTCCAGAAGGGTAAAGAAAACAAAATGCAAACCATTTAGATGAAACACACAAGTGCAAACATCACTAGGATTATTTAATCAATTTCTATCTTTCTACCTACACTGAAGCTTTAAGCAGAGGCTAAATAGATAATGCTAAGCTAAGTTTATCAGCTGCCATAGACTGTTAAATAAAGATGGACGACCTCATCGCGCCTCAAATGTGAAGCCATAGCAGATGGGACATGAATCAAAATATAAGTGCAGTAATAAATCTTTTTTTTTTTTTTCAGGTAGTTCTTATCACACTGATGTTTGTTCATGTGTTCATGTTTCTGACGCGTCTGATTGGTCGAGCTCCTGCTTCAGCGGTACCTGGTCACGATCACCGCTCCTCATACTGATTCTGGTTTAATGTCATGTGCTCCTGTATTAACGAGATTTTAGCTTTATTGTTGTTGTTTGATTTTTGAGCAGCATGTATTAAATTGTTGTGAAGAATAGTGACACAGACACTGATACCACAGTGAAAAGAGACGAGAAATAAAACCAACAACTCTTGACATATTAAACATCAACAGTTTACATACAACACACTGTTGAGTCGAACATCCATAATGGAGCTGCTGTTGGCGTTGTGTTCACAGCTGATGAAGGCCGACCCGTCTGGGTTCACCATCTGATTCTGCGTCACCTTGAAATCTGACCAACGAAAAGGACTCTCTCAGCAAGAAAGACATTTTTTCCTAGTCATAAACACACTGAGGTGATAATGTATTAGAACTTTTAACGACCAGAGACGTTCATTTTATTCTCATTATTTCAACTTCAATCTCAATACTTTTCTTCAAAACCTTAAATCGTAAAAAAAAAAAATCTTCCTGTGATTGAGTTTTATTTCAACATTTCACAAAATGTTCTGATTCATTTCAACTTTATCATCAACATTTTTAAAAGGAAAAAAAATCTTCCTCAACACATTGTGGTTTTCTGCCTGGTGCTGATTTACCTAATCAATAATCAATAATGCAATTCAGCGTGGAGGAAATTTCTAACAGTAACGAATATGGAAACGTCTCTGCTTGTATAGAATACAAGAGAATACCAGCATATGTGAACCAGTTTCTTCAATCGTTATTATCGGTTATACTGTTTTTTCAGTATTATGATACAGTAATACAGTAAATATGGACAGAACATGAAGGGTCCTACCGGTATTTTGTTGGCAGCTCAGATAAACTGAGCTGATGAAGATGATGAAGATGTTGAGGATCATCTCAGCGTCTCTGCTCCTTCTCGTAAAAAACTGGACAACAACTGACAACTTGGCTCAGCACAACATCCAACACCACAACAACGTCATTACGATACTGAGGTGAGGGGAAAAAAAAGGTTGTGCACAAGTTTCCGTTTATCAACTGTCAATCAAAGTGCTGCTGTTGTTTATGTCATTTCTGTGGGTGAACATTTCCTGTAGCAACAGGTTTCGAGGTTTGGTGAAAAAATATATATCCGTATGAATCGATGGGTGATTTTTTGTTTTTGCAAAACATCTGCATTAGTGTGGACAGAAACTGTTCACTCAGGAGGAGGCATGATCTGAAAAACCAGGGTCCAAAGACAAGAGGAGAGAAGCTTCAAGGTGAAACAGGAAAGTGCGAACACAGATCTAAAACCAAATATTGAAAGCAAACGGAGATCGTGAGTCCAAACTGACGTTCTTAAGACAAATCACACGTCTTTTTAAAAGTTCCGTAAGCATCCCTTAGAAAGAGCGACACAGCGGCAGAACCGTGACAGCTGGTTGGATAATTACATGAATAAGCAGATGTACACGTGTTCCTGATAAAGTGCTCAGTCACTGTTTATATGCTGTTGAGAGCTTTTCTTGCCTCTTGCAATTTTGAAGGTAGAAATAGATCAAAAGTTTTGTTACTATCACTGTATCTGCTCATTATCTTTAACTTCTGAAGTTGCCTCTGTGGGAACGTCTGTCTGTCAGCAACATTCTAACCTACATCCTGTTTTGCCGTCTGTGCTTCTGTGAAAGTGAATGATTGAACTGAAAACCACACAGACTCACTCAGCACCGTCCGGCTGAATTCTGCTCCCTGATTGGTCCGACTGCGAGAGACGGAACGATCTTGTCGTCTCCTGACGTGGTTTTCTCCGGTTTATTAGCACGATGATGATTTCAAGTGGAGATGTTCAACATCCAGGAAAATAAAGTAACACAAAGTCAGTGATGCTCTTGTGGCAGAAACATCTTGAGGGATTGTTTTTCCAACATTTAACACACACACACACACACACACACACACACACACACACAGAGAGAGAGAGAGACAGGCAACAAATAAAAATGGAACGACGTGGCTCCACCATGTCATCAAAAAATAAACCCAAACGCTGCCATCTTGCACATTTGTGAAGATACGGTAAGTAAATAATTGTGTTTTGGGGGTTTTCACTTTTTGGCTTAAAACAAAACCACAAAAAATACGTTTTGTCTTCTTTTTTAGGTTTTTGGCTTAAAGGTTCAGTGTGTAGGATCTTTAGTGACATCTAGTGGTGAAGAGAGAGAGAACCTGTGGTTTGTCCAGTCTGGGCTACTGTAAAAAAAACATGGTGGCCTCTGTAGAGAGGACCAGCTCCCGATGTAAATATAAAGTATTAAATATAAAGGGAGAGGACGACAATTCATACACTTGATGAAACACACAGGTGAAAACTTATAGTTAGCCACTTTGGATAAAAGCATCAGCTAAATGAAATTTAATGTAAAAAACATCACTAGGAGATGATGAACTAAAAACCACAGACAGGAAATGAATTCAGCCAGAGTGAACCAGCAGCTCAACTAGAGCAACTTCCATCTGCTGACAAACAAAATGTTCATTATTCATCTCAACCCATTTTCTTTTTCTCGAGCGGCTCACGTTCAACTGCTCCACATGTGACGTCTCTTCACTGGCTCCAAATCAACTCATTGTCAGCAACAGTGATTTACACAAACCAATCAAACTGTATCTTTAAAACTCATGACACACTAAGAGGATTACTCATCACGGCCCCCTGGTGGTTCTGGGTCTACAACTTCAGATCTACTGTCGACTATTATTCTACTATTTCTGGAAACTGTAAAGTCAGCATGTTCCATAATTTATTTGTATTTCCCATTTATGTATCGTACATTTGTATTTGTATATTGTTGGATGTAATATTTGTGTTATACATCCAACAATCAGCTGCAGGACCTTATTTCCTCAATTACATATTTAATACTTGTGTTCATTAATGTGGTGCTGAGGTGCTCTATTCAAACAACAGAATCAGAGTCAGGTACATGGTACAGATTTAAGTTGAAAAACTTTACTTGAAGTAAATACACAACATGAATATTTGCTGAAAATTGCAAAAATACACAGGCATGAGGTAGTTACCAATAGACACTAGGCACTAATCTCTATGGCCATAATGCATCTGAATGATCCAAAGGATTTACCAAATTTACTCAAGCACTTCTTTAAACAAACATCGAGCCTCAAGTGACAATCAAAGCTGCAGCTTTTTTAATATAATTACAACGTAAACATTCTTTTGTACTAAATAAATAACTTCTGCATTGACGTCCACACGTGGAACCTCAATCATGACAGAGGCGATGCTTCATGCGGTCGACACTGACTTTACCACCACGCAGTTGATTTTTTTCAGCAGCATACAGCAGCGGGAACAACACTGTCCCTCATCCCTCGTTCACACTGGAGAGTCTGCAGATGGAAAACACACGTTCAGCGTCGTTCTGTTTTCACTGATACTTCTGCCCAATGGTCAGATCACGAAGAGGTTTGAGGCAAAAATCCCTCAATGGGCCCCACAGACCTTCTTTTCCTCCCCCTCTCCCTCTCTCTCTCTCCTTTCTCTCTCTCTCTCTCTCTCTCTCTCTCTCTCTCTCTCTCTCTCTCTCTCTCTCTCCTTTCTCTCTCTCTCTCTCTCTCTCTCTCTCTCTCTCTCTCTCTCTCTCTCTCTCTCTCCTCCTAATTGTTTAGACGTAGCATCTCATAGCATAATGATATGGTACAACTCGTTACGATACATTATTGAACGATACTTTAACCATTTGAAACAATTTGATGTTATACGATACATTACCAGACGATGCAATACGATACGATAAAACACGACACGATACTTTTCTGTTCTCACAATGAGAAAATTCTACCATAGCCAGTCATAAGTAAAGATTAAATGATACAATGTGATACAACTTGATACTATTCATATAATTCGATTCATTAATATTTGATACAATTCGATGCGATTTGATGTGATACAACAAAACTACACAAAGGTATGAGACAATGTTTCTTTATTAGTCTGTGTCTGGGATAGAAACTAGAATATCATCAAGAGTAATAAATAAGTAGACAATCAATATAAAAAACACAGATTATTTACTCAGTGTAAACATGATAATCAAATCCTGCTCTGACCTGGAAGTAGACGATGATGAGGAGGACGAACATGATCAGAATCACCAGGACGACCACAGGAGCGCTGATGGGTTCCTTCCCCTCCTCGGCCTCCTCTTCATCACTCTGCTGAACCCTCTCCCGCACAGGAAGGTCACAGATGTCTGTGGACAAACGTGAAAGTGAGACGCGAACTGTGGGACGCAGTGGGTGATCGTGCACGAGAGCGGGTGAGTCCTCACCTTGGACATGGATGAGCGTCCCGTTCCCGGTGAGCCGCAGGTATGGAGGTGGGTAGAGGATCTCCACCTCACAGCGATACAAATCAGTGTCTGGTGCTTTCAGTCCAGACACTGTCACCTGCACGACGCCCCCTGTCACCTCAGCAGAACACTGCACCTGAAACACAACAGTGTCAGTGTCTCTGAACATGTCTCACTGTCTTTGACTCTCATCCTTTATATGTTTGAAGGTCTTCTGCACAATTTAAGTGTTTTGGCCTTTTAACCAACGATACCGGCCGAACTTGAGGCTACGCTGAACGACTTGAGACATCGAGTTCAAGATTATGTCAAGGTCATGTTTTGTGAGGCCACTTGGACATTGTAAGTTCATCAAATTTGAAGAGATTCCCTCAAAGTGGCTCTGGAGTCAGACGCTGCATAAAGACTTTGTGCGGTAAAGAAAAACTTCAAAAACCAAGTTCTGTTCAAGAGATTTCAAAGCGAACAAGGAGCGTGACAAGTGAGAGGATGATGGAGAAAATAAGTGAACTGACCTCCTCCCCCTCCCCCTCGTCGGTCTCTCTGGGCTCGGTGAAGTTGAGCATGGTGGAGCAGAGGCTCCGGGAGCCGTGGAGGCCTCTCAGCAGAGTCACACGGACCTCCTCGGGGTCAGGCAGCTGGAGGCCGTGGTGGTTGGAGGGCTGTGTCTGGAGGAAACACTGGACCTGAGCGGTGCCGTTGACGCTCATCACTCTGTAGGGCTGGATCACCTTCACCCCTGATGGAAAAACAAGGAAGGTCTGAGAAAGATGTGACACTCAGTGGATGAAGAGTCTAAAATTTGTCTCATTGTCTTGAAATTAGTTGAAATATAAAATAATCGTGTGAAGTCATCTTTCTTTGTTCTACTGAATGAACACGACTGTTTCACCAAAACTAGCAAAGTTCATTTCATCTGATATTTTTTTAGTGGGAACAACTTAACAAAATAGGAAAATACAGCTTAAAT